GTCTTCTGCAAAAACAGTCAATGTTCTTAACTGCTGAGCCATTTCTCCAGCCCAAGTTATTGAATTTCTTAAGGACTGTGGAACTGCCAGGCATGGTGGCATATACCTTTAATCCCAGCACTAGGGAGGCAGAGGCAGGTGGCTCTTTGTTGAGTTCAAGGCCAGCCTGGTCTACAAAGCAAGTTCCAGACCAGCTGGAACTATAAGGAGACCCTGTCTCCAAAACAAGAAAAGGCTCTGTTTTATGTAGTAATATTAACATGGGATCTTGGGGATGAAAAAAATGGAAGGATTGTAGTTTAAAGTGATATGCTTGTATAAAGTGATGTGTTTGTATGTCTTAAGATGACAACTAAAGTTATCCAGCACAATTGATCCCTTGTCAATTTAACACACAGACCTAGATAGAGGGAATCTCAACTGAGGAATTGTCTCATTGGATTGGCCAGTGGCCATGTCTGTGTGGCCGCCGCTTTTTGTGTGTGTGTGTGCAGGGTCTCACATAGCTAGCCTGGTCTTAAACTCACTATGTACCTAAAGCTGGCCTTGAATTCTGGATCCTCCTTGCCTCAGCTTCCCTAGGGCTGGGAAGACAGGTGTGCACCACTATGACCAGTTCAACATAGTATTCTCATTCCTTGATGAACTATTTGAATGAGGAGAGAAGACTTCAAAGCCAAAAAACAAGCTACCGCCAAGCATGGTAGCACATGCCTTTCACTCCAGCACTTAGGAAGCAGAGGCAGGTGATATCTGTGAGTCCTAGGCCAACCTAGTCTATAAAGAGAGTTCTGGGTTAGCCTGGGCTATATGACACCTTCCTCAAAAACAAAACAAAGAGTTTATTGTACTTTTAACAGTTCACTGCTTCTTTTTTTAATAGGGGGAAGCATGAATGCAGTCCCCCACTACCACAAATTATGCAGTGGGGTTTCCTGCATTTGGGGAAATCACAAGGATCAGCGCATCACAAGTGCAGTGGATCAGCTTCGCCCTGGGAAAACCACCTTCCAGGTCATGGTGTCTCCATGTCAGGTAGTATTACATCATTACTTTTTTTAAAAGTTTCTACAATAGAGTATAATTTTGTTATTGTTGTTATTTGGTTTATTTGTTTTTGAGATTGGGGGGGGTCTCATTCTATGTAGCCCAGGCTGACCTGAAATTATACTATATAGCCAAGACTGCCTTGAACTCACAGCAATCCTCCTACCTCACCTTCCTGATTAGTTAGAAGTAACTAACATTATAGGCATGAACCACACACTCAGCTAGAATATAATTTGTGTGTGTGTTCACACACACACGTGTGCATGCACATGTACATGGGTGTGGTAGTGCAAGCAACCATGTGTGGAGGCCAGAAGGGTGTGTTGGATCCCTTGGAGCTGAAGTCACAGGCAGTTGTGAGCTGCCTGACATGGATGCTGGGAACCAAACTTGGGTCTTCTGCAAGAGCAATACAGGCTCTTAACAACTACTGAGCCATCTCCACAGCCCCAGAACTATTTTTTTTTTAATTTTTATGTTATTCGTTTTTGGTCACTTTGAAACAGTTTCCCTATAGCCCTAGCTGGTTTAGAACTCCCTATGTAGACTAGGCTGGCCTCTATCTCACACAGATCGGCCTGCCTCTGCCTCCGGAATACTGGGACTAAAGGCCTGTGCCCCCACATGTCAAAGAACATATTTTTTTTTTAAGTATGTATGTTTGAGACAGGGTCTCCCTGTAGCCCCAGCTGGCCTAACTCACTATGTAGACTAGGCTGGCCTTGAACTCAAGAGATTTTCCTGCCTCTACATCCTGAGTTCTGGGATTAAAGGTATGTACCACCATGCCCAGCATTAAAGGTTTTTTATTGTTTTTTTTGTTTGTTTATTTGTTTGTTTGTTTTTGAGACAGGGTTTCCCTGTAGCCCCATCAGGCCTGGAACTCATTATGTAGACCAGACCAGGCTAGCCTCGAACTCACAGAGATCCACCTGCTTCTGCCTCCCAAGTGCTGGGACTAAGGGTAAAGTATCTTTTTTAAAGCTCACAACCACCTATAAATTCCAGCTCCTGAGGAACTGATTCTCTCTTCTGGCCTCTGAGGGTACCTGCACTTATGTGCACATATCCATACATGGATACATGGAGACACAGACACACAGACACACACACACTTAAAAATAAAATAAATCAGGCCAGAGAGATGGCTCAGTGGTTAACAGCACTGGCTACTCTTGCAGAGGACACAGGTTCAGATCCCAGCACCTACATGGCAGCTAATAATCATCTTTAATTCTGGTTCCAGGGGATCAGACATCCTCTTCTGAAATCTGTGGCTACTGCACACATGTGGTGCACTTACATGAAGGCAATACACTCACACATAAAATAATAATTTTTTTAATTAATTAAAGGGAAGGAATGGGATGTAATTAAGTTGGTATGGGGGACTTGCTTAGCCTGCAAGAGTCCCTGAGTTTGTTCCCACCACCACATAAAAACAAATATGGTGGTACACACTTACAATCCCTGCACTTGGGAGGTAGAAGCTGCAAGATGAGAAATTCAATGTTAGCTTCAGCTACAGAGAGTTACAGGCTAGTCAGGAACCTGAGACCCTGTCTCAAAAACATAAAATTAAATGTTTTAAAGGCCTAGGGAGATAGCTTAGTCAGTAAAGTGCTGCCATCCCATGAAGACCTGAGTTCAATCCCCAGAGTCCACATAAAAAGGTCAGGCATGGTGGTGATCGCTTATAATCCCAGCACTAGGAAGGCAGAGACAAGAAGATCCTTTGCGTTCACTGATGGGTCACCTAGCCTACTTGGCAAGCTCCAGGCCAATTACTGTGTCTCAAAAAACAAGGTAGGAGACGGAGAGATGGCTCAGTGGTAAAAGCATTTGCTGCACATCCTTGGTGACCTTAGTTTGGATGCCACATAGCAAATCAGACATGGTCTTGCAACCACCAGTAACCCCAGCACTGTGAGGATCAGAGACAGGAAGATTGCTGGGATTGCTGCCTGCTAGCCTAGCCAAAAAACACAAGCTCCATATTCAGGGAGAGATCTTGCCTCAAAGGAATATGGCAGAGAGTGATGGAGAAGGACATGCAACACCCTCCTCTGGCCTCTGCATGGGAACACACACAAGCTCACATACCCACACCTGTACATACACTACACATGTATCTCTCCCCCTTCCCCTCTCCCCTTCTCTCTCTCCTCTCTCTCTCTCTCTCTCTCACACACACACACACACAAAGAATGGGCTGCACCTAAGAAAGGATACTCAAAATTAATCTTTGATCTCCACATGGACACACATACATGAGCACACACAAGTGCACCCACAGAAACACACTCGCCCATACACACACAAAATACATGAATAAATAAAAAGGGAGCATGGCATAGTGGTTTACACCTGTAAACCTAGCACCTAAAAACAGGCAGAAAGATCACCACAAGTTCCAGGCCAGCCTGGGCTACAAATTATATGTGTTCCGGGTCAGCCTGGGCTACATATTATATTGAGTTCCAGGTTAGCCTGGGCTACAGTATGAGACCCTGTGCCCCCCCCCAAAAATCATCAATTTAATTTGTTTTTTGTCTTTTTTGAGACAGAGTCTCCTTGTAGCCCCAACTGTCCTGGAACTCATTATGTAGACCAGTCTGGCCTCGAACTCACAAAGATCCACCTGCCTCTGCCTCCCAAGTGCTGGGATTAAAGGTGTACGCCACCACGCCTGGCAATTTAACTTAATTTTTTAAAGGTCTGGGGATGTAGCTCAGTGGTAGAGCACTTGCCTACCACAAGGCCCTGACTTCAATTCTCAGTACAGTAACAACAACAAAAGATTATCTTGACATTTTAATTTCATACTGCCTGAATTTCTAGTTTCCTATGTCTGAAAAAGGTAAATAAAGGTACTAAGTAAAACAATTGTTAATTGAAGGACTGAAGAGACAGCTCAGCTGTTAAGAGCACTGTCTGCTCTAGCAGAAGACCTGGGTTCAATTCCCAGCACCCAAATGGCAGCTAACACTCATGTTTTAACTCTAGTTCCAAGGGACCCTATGCCCTCCTCTGGCTTCCTAGGGCACTGCATGTATGTGGTACAATTATATGTAGGCAAAACACTCATATACATAAAATAAAATTAAAAATTGTTAATTAGCACTTTTAATGCTACTAATTTATATGGATGAAAATTATGTTAAAAAAAATTATTTTCTTGCTGGGTGTGGTGGCACACGCCTTGTAGTCCCAAAATTTAGGAGGCAGAGACAGGCGGATCTCTGTGAGTTCAAGGCCTGCCTGGTCTAGATAGTGAGTTCCAGGCCAGCTGGGGCCACAAGGGGACCCTGTCTCAAAAAGACCAAAAAAAATTTTTTTCTTGGGCTGGCAAAACAGCTCACCAGGTAAAAGCACTTGCCCAAAGGCCTGAAGACCTGAGTTCAATGCCTGAGCCCAACGTGGTGAAAGACGAGCACTGACTCCCCCAAGTTGTCCACTCATGGCCATACATGCTTCCCCAGCCTCCTCACACACAAATAAACAATAAATATAAAAAAAAATTTTTTTTTCCTAACCTCATGTGGTACTGCACACCTATAATCCTAGCACCTGAAAGGTAGAGGCAGGAGGATCAGGAGAACTCATGGTCACTCTCAGCTACACAGCAAAGTTCAAGATCAGCCTGGACTACATGAGACACTGTCTCAAAAAAAGGTGTGCCAGGCGTGGTGGCACACGCCTTTAATCCTAGCACTTGGGAGGCCGAGGCAGGCCGATCTCTGTGAGTTCAAGGCCAGCCTGGTCTACATAGTAAATTCCAAGACAGCTGGGGCTACAGGGAGACCCTGTCTCAAAAAGACCAAAAAAAAAAAAAAAAAAAAAAAAAAAAAAAAATACATGTGTGTGGAGGTCAGAAGACAACTTGCAGGAGTTGGTCCTCTCCTTCCACCATGATATAGATCCCAGGGATTCAACTCAGGTTGGCAGACTTGGTACCAAGTGCCTTAACCCACTGAGCCATCTCACAGGCACACACAGAAGTCTTTTAAATTTGACAAATTAAGGTGTTCAAACATTGTCATCAACCTGAAATATTAACTTAAGTGAAACTTAGAGAAAAGCTACTGGGGGAAGGGAGTTGGCCTCAACTTCTAGCAATCCTCCTGCTTCAGCCTTCCAAATACTGCTGGGATTATAGACATGTGAGGAAGATAATCAGCTCTCTAAAGCTGTCCTCTGACCTCCACATGCACACCCTGGTATATGCACATGCCCACCCTCATGCATATATATAAACAATAAATATTTTTTTTAATTTTGCAGACATAACGACAAGATAAGAATTGCACAGAAACACAGAATTCACTTTAGTAAAAACAGATTAGAAAAAATTCAAAGAAACAGGGATGATGTCCTAAAATTAATGAAAAGAAAGCAAGCATGATAATGTAACAATGGCTGGGCACAGTGGTGGAAATCTATCTCAGTATGAAGGAGCAGAGGCAAGTTCAAGGCCAGCCTGGTCTCAGAGGGGGAAAAAAAGAGGGACTGACAATGCACAGCAAGGAATTCTGACAAGAAAACCATTTACTTTTTCACTGAGCACAGTACATTTCCATCCAATGTCCCTCCCATTTTCCAAAATTCAACAGGCCATTAAAAAAGTCCAGAACACATCCTCTATTTGGTATAAAAGGGTGAAGGGAAAAATGAAGAAAAACATTTTCTGACTTAAGTATCATGCAGTATTGAATATGGGATCAGTAAATTAGAAGAGATGGAAGAATTTCCAACATTAAAAAAAAAAAAAAAGAAATCTTGGGAATGTAGCCCCAGTACCACAAGAGAGGAGAGAGAAGAGAGAGAGAAGAGAGGGGAGAGAGAGAGAGACAGAGATAGAGACAGAGATCCACTGGGTGTGGTGGTTGGGTGATGCATACCTGTAATCCCAGCACTCCAGAAGCTGAGACTGGAGGATTTGTAGTTCCAGGCCAGCCTTGACTATATAGGGATGTCAGCTCCAGCAGGGCA